TTTGGTTAACATTTCAGAAAATAATCTCTCCTTTCTCAAAATCCAAAAAATTCACAACTTAGTGTTTTGAAAAATTGGTGAATTTTCAAGTTGTTTATCATCTCGTTTCTTGTAAAAAAGCTTTCAGTGGTCACATAATCGATCCTATTCGTGACTGACATTTTTGTAGGCGAGTTATCCTTTTCTGCTACTCAAACATTATAAAATGAAGTTTCTGTGTGACGAAATCTTCAGCGTGTTTATAACTTATAATTTGTTTTGCTTATTGATTATTCGGTTCAAGTCTTTTTCAATTCAAACAATTTTTTACTTATCAGGATAATAAAAGCTTCATGAATACCGAATTTCTACATAATTTTACAAGTGTAGTTACATGTTTTAATGAAAGTCTGTAGGTATCTAGGAGTCATATTCATGAAATTGAAATACACTTGCAAATCACTGCTGATGCCGAAAAATTTGAGAAATAATTAGCATATAAAAAACCAAATTTTCATTATAAGAGAGAGGCAAAAGACTTGGGATCATAAAATAAAGGGGATAAGGTGGGAGAAAAATGTATTCGTTTCTTAGGACTTAAGTATATATAGATGATGGTCAATATTTGAGAAAGTAAAACTTTTTAGGTCTGTACCAACTAATAACATGAAAATTATCAAGCATCGATCAGCACTCTTGATGAAAATGAACTATAGTCCCCCGTCTCCCAAAAATCTGAAAGAGAGCCAAGAAATGACGATGTCACCATTTTTTATGAAAAAAGTTCATATGAACACGAGTCCTAACTTGCGTCGTTTCCGAGTTACGGGGTGTCATACTTTTACTAAAAATATTGTTTTTTCAATTATAACTCACAATTATTTTCGCCGATTTTGATTGAACCATATGGGTTTGATGAGTATATAACAAGTAGATTTTTTTCATGAAATTAGATTTGGAATTTCAATTCCAGTGACGTCGCGGAGAGTTACTTGATCGATATTTATAATATGGTAAAAATCATTATTCGCTACTGTTTTCGATAAGTTTGATATTATTCGAAATGACTAACCTCTATCGAGTCAGAGTCAGTGGCGTAGAAATGGGTATTAGGAATCATCTAAGTTTAAAAATGTATTTTGATATTCCTCGCCATTAGAAACTCTCTTTGGAATGAAACTCTTTTTGGATTGTAGATGAAAGACGTATTCAAACTGCCGAATACGTCTTTCATGTATTTTATTCGGAGAAAAGTATAAGTGATAATGAAAAGTAATTAAATCAGATGGTCAAAATGAGAACCTTGACTTGCAATAAAAGCATCAAGTCTGCGAGTGCCGCACAGATGCAAAAATTACTGGGGTGTATCTATGACATTAAAATGATGTCTAATTCTCTTTATCAAGTCATTTTCTTCGACAACTGGTGTCACATTAACAAGCGATTCATAATATTCCCAAAACAAGTCTTCCGGATGGTTCAAGTCTTGCGATTGAGGTCCCTCAAGACCTATTCACTGGTGAGCAAAAGTATCAGTAAGATTTTCATGAGCAGTTACTGAAATGAATACATCGTGCATACATTATATATTCGTGCATACATCACATATTTTGGTTGACTAGAAAAGGTAATTTCTTTAACATTTCTGGTAATGTGTCTTCTAGAAATTGTCTCGAGTCGAGGAGGAAATAAATGCGGCCATCTGATATGATTACCAAAAATACCCACCCAGACATTCACCAAAAATTCTCGCTGAGATCCACTTTCTATAGAGTAGCATGGGGATTCTCGTAGGCCCAAGAATGATTGTTATGATGACATCCCTCAAAAAACTTGCCTCATCTATGAATAAAAATTCAGAATGAAATTGGGAGTTTGTACAACTTTTAGAAGGAACCACTGACAAAATTTAGTCGTCAGGGACAGCCGAACTCCAAGTGTGTTCCGCGGAACAGACGATAATGCAACGACGTCAAGTTCCACAGTTTCAATGGCGAAAAAAATTAAGTATGATGAATCATATATCAGTTTCGGATTTGCTAATTTCAACGGCTCACCTCTCTGCATGATGAGTAGTAAACTGCTTTGTAATAGTTCCATGGCATCTGCCAAGTTGCACCGACATTTAAAAACTGTACATCCCGAGTATAAAGACAACAATAAGGAATTTTTGTACTTGATGAAGATCCATAGTAATTTCAAAAACTACACCTCACAATTCTCACCTCACAAATCATGAGGTGTAGTTTTGAAAAAAAAAAAGAAAAAATAATCGATTTTAATAAATTAATGAATGTAGCCATTACTACGTGGTGGGAAATTATAATGAAGAAAAGAGAATTGAATGGCGGATATCTTTGAAAAACTGAACGAATTAAATTTATCATTATAAGGTGATCAGTCAGCAGTGTTCCAGGCCTGTGACAAAAAATAACTGCGTTCAAAAGAAAATTACTTTTCTGGATTATTTGCATTGGTAAGAGGGAAATAGAGAGCTGTAAGTCACCCAGTGAGTTCGTTAGTGATAACGACTCAGAAATGTTAAAGGATGATATATTGGAAGAATTGGTCCAATATCTCACTTCGACGCGCGCATATTTCAAGAAGTATTTTCCCGAAGAACACAATACAAAAATGAAATGAAAATCTCTTTCAGGAATGTCATCAGACACAAGTATGGAGACACTGTTCAAAACGACGCCTCTCAACGATTTTTGGTGCAGAATCTGTGATGAATATCCAATGCTTGCCAAAATGGCTCTCAATATTCTTTTCCCGTACCCAACGACATATTTGTGCAAAATGGGATTCTTAAGAAATGCAGCCACTAAAACAAAATACCGCAATAGACTGGACACCGAACCTGATATGAGACTTCAACTGTCTTTTATCAAACATTAGTTAATTTTTTTTTAATATCTTTTATTATTATACATGTTATGTAAGTGAGTAATAAGTGACTGTTACAATGTATTTTTTTTAGGCTTATTAATAAAGAATACACTTTCAAAAACTATTGTTTTATTGTGGGGTTTTGTCAAGTATTTCGCTTTCCAGAAGGGTTCCGTCACCAAAAATGTTTGAGAATCACTGGTCTATGAAAATCTCGCGGTAATAGTGCCTTGCACCCGTTGGTTGTGGAATGGATACAATAAATTTGTATGCAAAACCTTCCGAACACTTAGATTACTGACATTGAACTGTGTAGCTAATTTTCGGGTACTTTCTGAAGAAATGGCGTCAAATTGAGGATTGCTTCCTCTAATTTTGGCTTCGTTATTGTCCTTAGTCCACCAGGATGCTCACCCTCTTTTGTTAAAGATCCAGTTTCGCGCAGTCTGGCGTGTGATCTGATGAAAGTTCTTTCTGCTGGAATATATCTATTTGGAAATTTTTCTCAGTAGAATCGACGCGATAACATTGATAGTGTTTGCACGCTTAAACAATCTAATGATACAACTTGTCACCTACTCTCAAAAACTGTCACAATACTAGTTACTCCTACTGTGGTTAACAATCTTATCGTTGGTATTGTTTAAAATCTAGAAATGACCAAGAATATCATACATAATTATTGTCATTTCGGTAGTCGTGTCGTAAGTTATTTAAAACTTGCTGGGTTTGACAGGTAATCTAATCAAAAGTGAATAATTTTTATCCCTCATTTTAATATGTATTCAATCTCTACTTCGATTTGAAAATGTTTAAAAATGTTTCTATAAAAAAACATTTTTTGAAAGAAGCTTTTATTCCTTTCATAGTTTGATCTAGGCTATTCTGTGAGTTAAGAGGCTTGTCACGGTACAGAATACGAAAGATTTTGATTATGTTACAGACTTACCTGGATCAAACAATTGATGAAATACTTTTCTCAATTTAGTGAAAAAAAGCCTCTTGTTAGAACTAACAAGCACAGTCAGTTTCAGTGAAGTCGGCAAAAAGACTTTTGAGTTATTTATGAAAGAACAATATATTCAGTTAAACTTTGACACACCGTAACTAGGAAAAGAGTTAGAACACACGTTCATAAAAACCTTTTTTTCATGAAATATGACAAGTAAATCATCACTTGAAATTAATGACATCATTCAAGATCCACCCTGTAAAAATGACTACTACTAGAACACAGAGATATTGTATATTATAATAGATGCATAAATAATACTGAAGTTATTGATTTTTATACTCGTATATTCTCTATGAAAGGTAAATCAGATATATAAAAAAAATGTTGCTGAATCAATATATTGTTTCCATCATCAGGGATATGTTTCTCATTCGACAACAAAATTTATAAATAAACGTTTTGAACACCAATGGGTGCTGCAATTTCTCCAATTTTAGCTGCATACGTTATGGATGACCTATTAGACACAGTATTACCTGTTTTATCCTTCAAACCCCATTCCATAAAAAATACGTTGATGATATCATCATTTCATTGGCAATGGATTGCACTGAAGAGATTCTTGACACGTTTGTTTGAAGGTGATTGACAATGTTTCATGATGAATTTCACTAGACAATGGTAGTCCGAAATAGTGAAATTCAGATTCTTGACACATTCAACAGCTATGATCCGTACATTCAATTCACTATGGAAACAGAAGACACTGACCACTCCGTGCCTTTCCTTGACACAAGGTTCATACGAACCACCAATAACAATATTCTGATAGATTGGTACAGAAAACCTTGTAGCTCAGAAAGATATATGAACTACTGGTCTGGTTTTTTCAACTAGACTGTTTGTCTAGTTGAAAAAACCAGACATCACCAGAAGATGGCAAATGAGACTTTGCCGAAACGTTGTGAAAATAATCCTTATGGGGAGAAAATACACAGAACACGGAGCGAAACCCGAGAAAACAGCTCATCATAAAAAGAGTTACAGTTGCCTCCAGAAGAAAGAGTTTTGTTGTATAATTTTTGTTAATAGGTTGATAAATGAATTTAAGTAATGTCAAATGAGTTGTCAAAGACAACTCATGCCAACTCATATACATATATATATATATTACCTGAAAGGCAAGAGTGAAAAATTAGTTCCTTCCAAATCTCCTTCACACATTGGGCATTTTTCAGGCAACGAAAAACAAAATATTTTTGGACCACAGTGTTGAAAGCAAAGTATTCCAGGATCCATCATTCTGAAAGATCTGAAACAAATCGAACATTTCACAAAATGAAAAACAAAGTGATTGTTGCAAAAGAGAAAAAAGTCCGATTGCATTATGTCATTATCTTGATAAATATGAACCCTCTATTAACCTAATATTGATCAATATCTTCTCTTTTGTTGAAACTAAATGAGAAATACTATTTCTGTGGTTCAGCTTGAGTTGAGAATAAGTAATAACCAATTTATTCGAGAATTGATTATATTCTAGTGCTGAAACCACTTGATTCATTTAATGTTAGTGTTTGAAGTACAATCTGAATTTGAAAAAGTGATTTTCGTGTATTTCAATGTTCATATGGAAGTAGTTGTTTCTGAAAGGTTTTTCTTTCAGTTTGTATCTGAAAAAACATCTTTATATGCTTCACATATCTTTCAAAAGAAGAGAAGTAGAGAGCTTTTCACGAAAAACTAATCTCTCCTGAAAATATCTCCTTTTCAACTTTAAAGGATTCATATCTTGGAGAAATTTTTACATAAAAATCAAGAAGAAAACTTTCATCAAGTAAATACTCTTATTTACATGTTTAACAATACAAACTTCAAAGTTTTTTCTAATTCAAAACAGAATAATTTTTTTAATTCAAATTTAAAAGAATATATTTTTAGGAGAGATCAATTTTTTAAAGGCTTCGTGACAAAAATTAGTAGTTTTATGAATGGATTGTAATAACATCCTGACATCGGATGTCCACTATTGAGGATGGCAGTGTTCCATGTAAGTGAAATTTTACCTCTTTTATATACAATACTAGTACTACTGTTTCGATGTTTTGACATAATCAGAATCAACGAACTTAGGCGTGCGCAGCGTTATAGAACAGTGCTTTCAAAAAAAAATTCTATAGCGCCATCTAGTGGTGAGTTACAGAAAAATTGATAGCCTAAAAACCTTCTCTATGAAAAATTACTCATACATGTCGAATTTCATCACGATTGGTTGAGCGATGTAGAAGTTTATCACTTACCAACCAACCAGCAAACATCCATTTTTATATATTAGATTGCGTAGCAATTATGCGAATGACCTCTTATTCAATACTCGGAGTACGAATTGAATTAGAAATTTTTGTATAACTCAATATTCATAAAAAATTAGTTGTTTAAAAAGTATTTTTTCTTTCATTTAATTCAATGTTTATATGAAAGTAGTTGTTTTGAAAGGGCATTTTTCTCTCAGTTTGTGTCTGAATGTTACTTCTTTGCATGATCTACATATGAAGAGTTTATTCTCTCGAACATTTTTACATTTTTGTATAAAGATGGAGAAGTTGAAAGCCAAAACCTTTCTTTCCCAAATATTTATAATGTTTTCATATGGAATGTCGAACTAGCTCAATCTTAACTTCCTGTGATCAATGTCGAATTTGTCTAATTTGTGTGATTGATGCTCATTATTCATTAGATTATTTCATCGTACTCCACCTGTGACCTATAATTTGCTATTCGATGAAAACCACCGTATATGTGATCCAAATATTCCTATACAAAAAAATTAGGATTAGAAGATGAGGGTCCGAAATCGGCTCTAATCAACTACAACATTGTCTAGCATCTATACCAGCTTTCGACACAGTCAAATGACAAAATGGTCATCATGAAAACTGAACTGATACAAATAATTTAATTGAAAATGATCTCACAAATAAACAAAATATAATAAAAAAATATTTTACGAGCACTGCAATAGATAATATAAAAATCATGAAAAATGAGAAATAAAACTTCCTATGTTTTTGTAGCACTTGTATTTGCAACTAACGTTACTGCAGTTTCGTCCTATGGAGAGGTTTTCAAACGGTTTATTATATTTGTTCGAAAATGTCCTTGTAGGGCGAAACTGCAGTAAAGTTAGTTACAAAAACAAGTGGTAAAAAACAGGAAGATGATCTTCCACCACGTAGTTACGGCTACATCCATCAAACAAATCGAACAAAATTACATAATATTAAAAAAAAAATTGAAAAAGTGTAACTAACTGATTGCTATAGAGAAGAATGCTTTCACAAAATTTTCTCAAAATTCAACTGAAAGTTTTGTGAATCCAGTTTATAATCAGTATCAGTATGAGTTTTCATTCAATGAAATTTAAGATGATTTGAAACTACACTAATGACAAAAATCAATCATTCATGATATGAATATATATTTTATAGATACTATTATAATATTTCCCCGAAAATCTATGATTAATTAACGACTGAATATGTTTCAGGTACCTATTATACCGTCGCCACCAATAAGAATTTCCTCCATACGTTCTTTTTTTGAATCAATACAACTCATTCATTAAAACAATTACCTGCAACTCATCATTGTCTACTATCTGATATGTAAATTTGATTTATGGCAATGATAAAAACCAAATTATTATGGAAACATGAAAGGTTATTTGAGGAATACAGATTTTATGTTATATTTTTCGAAGACATTGTGGTTAGAATTAGTAATACGTAAAGCAGTCAATCTTCAGGAGTTTTCAGAAACAGCTCCGAATTCAAAGATTCAATTTTTTTTCATATTTTAAATCAGAAACCTGATGAACTGAAAAATTGGAGCTTCAGGCTTCTTCATGTAGTTGACATTTTGCACTTTGTCGAAATCCGTCACAAAGACGAAATCATTATTTGCAAGTTTCCAATTCCAAACGAACTTGAATTTTCCTTCGATTTTTTTTCAACGCAAATTGACATACACACTCTACTACTCCATTATATACTGTATATAGGTATCACTGTGTTGAAACAATATGCATTTTCATAATAATAAGGCATGTTTTGATAGAAATGTTAGATTCAAAGAGAACCATTAAATTAGTATAGACGAAGTAACTGATATAGTAATTCTTAAAGCTATCGGCGAAGTCAAAGGCCAAAAAAAACCAATACAAAGAAATAGTGCCGCTACGAATTAGTCCACGTGGACTGAAGAATTGGCTGTTCGAATTTGATAATTTTTACTAACCGAGTTTTATGATTGGCTGAAGAGTCATAAAATTAAATTTGAAGTCATGTTACGGTGACCAATAGAATGTGAGGATGGTTAGAAGAGTCGTGTTGTCAATGTTCAGGTCAGGAAGTGATCGCGATTTCAGTGTTGAAATTCGATATTGGTGAAGTTATAATTACTTAAAATTTTTGTTATTTGTTTAAAATGTGGCATCCTTAGACAAGTACTAATAGTAATAACGAGTATGATAACAATGCAGACTTTTTCCTTTTTCCTCCAATAGCGCTGGTGAACAATGCGAAAAAGAGATACCAGTGAATAAGATTCGGATGCATTTGAATATTGAAACACAGAGAGTATGTTTCAATGTATACAAGAATCTACATATCAAGTTTGGTTTCGAGGGAAAAAAATATTACAAGCAACATCAGATTTGACCGAAATTCCTTTCTCAACTGTAGGTAAAATAGTTAAAAACAAACCTTATGAACGCAAGACGCGAATTGATGCGGGATTACTGAAACATATAGATGTTCCTCTAATAAAATCATTAAAAAAACAATATACGACTGTTACAAAAGCAATGAGATTCCTACAATTGAAAGAGTGGACTGATGGTTCGAGAATGTGAACGCGAATAATCATTGTGCATTGCGGAGGAAGTAAAGGATGGGTTCCGAATTCTTTGAAATTATGTGGAAAAAACTTGAGGACTGCATATTTACTATCATAAGAAAATGGAAGCTAATATTTTTGAGAAATGGTTCGAAAACACATTGATTCCAAATTTGGATGCGAATAGTGTAATAGTTCTTGACAACGCTTTCTATCATTCGCGACAGTTCATCAAAGTACCGAATAAAAATTCGAGGAAAGATGAAATACATAGTTTTTTAATGGATATTTTGGATGTATTTTGAAGATAATTATACCAAAAACCAACTACTTGAAGTTTTACAGACAAAAACATTCGAAAAAGTGTATGCCTTGAGAGTATTGCTGAAAGGTATGGACACACCATATTCAGACTTCCCCCCTATTTTTGTGTTTTCAATCCCATCGAGTTGATTTGG